TTCAAAATGATATTGATATCGATTGATATAAATGCATGACTTCTGCATTCGTATTATGTTCACGAAGCATTCAGAGTGATCTTTTCTCTTGTTTGTTTCCTTTGTACGAAATGAAAGACCAATCCGCTGCGACATACAGTTTTGGTACGGTCCGGGCGTTCAGCGCTTTCTTTGCAGTTGTCCTGCATTCTCATCAATACAGCCGCAGAATGGTGCAACGAACTACAGGATAACAAGTCACTTTGTAATCATTAGAAAGTTGCCCTTCAACTCGAATCCCGTGGCAGATTTATGGCATATATTTTTAATTCATAAAACTTTATAATTGCAATGTGCCTTTAATCAGCTTACAGTATTAATCATTAATTGTTTCATAGTCCGCATCTCATTCCATGGTGTACTATTTTAGTTGAAACGGAATATTACACGATACCAGTGATGACATCGGCGATCACTACGTTTGCCATCGAGGACCCGTCACAGGAGGTGATGGTGCCGAAAAGTTCTAATATGCAAAAGAACGTGCCGAGTGCCCCGGAAATAAGACCTCGTGAGTGAACAACATTGATTGATCTGACCCGTTTCATAAAATTCATTAATTTTGTAGACGTCCAAATAAGAAAATTGGAGAAAAACAAGTTATGCTTTCCCAAGTCAACGTTTGTCGGCATTTCTTCGTTTCTGTGCATACTGGCGCTGATGCAAGCGGCCGCCGTGGCCATGATAGTCACGAAACACTGCCGAAGAAAGGGCATATAATACATAATATCTCAGGTCTCATCCACGGATCAAATGTAACTTTCGACAGTTAAAGTTGATTGATCCATGTAACATCGCTGCCCGCCCTTCCTGTGTCCGGAACATATCTGTGTCCACGGACGAACTTAGTACTGATAAATTATGAATAACTGTTGTTGTATTTACTTACTGACCGATTCTGTACAAAATCAAGAACCGCTGAAAGCAAGATATTGTTTTTATATTTCAATTACGCCGATCCGGATTGAAACGTAGAAAACGCACAGTGTAAAGAAAGAAAAATTCAAAATGAAGTCCCGATGTTCTCGGGAGCTTAAGATACCGCCGCTAAATATATAACAGTAAACATACTGATACTGGATTGAAACGCCGAATGCAGAATAAAAAAAAAATCTATTTCCCACTTTATACCCGCAGCTCACTGCACCGATCCCCTTGCTTCTAGACGCCTAGAGGGACCATTTAAGCAGGAGACGGTTCCAAGGTATTTAAGTGCTTGCAGTGCAAAGGACGCAGGACCGCACCTCAAACATAAGTTGAACAAAGAAATACTCATCGTCACGACCCATAGGCGAAAAAAACGAAAACATTATTCTGATGTTCTGGGATAGACTGCTTGAGTGAAATTTTCGAAACCGCCATCGACACATTTAATGTATATGTGTACCGGATTGAAACGGCGAAAACGCAGTGTAAAGAAAGAAAATTCATTTCTTACTTTACGCCGATAGTGCGGTGGTGTAAGACATGAAAATCTTACACTAAGAAATACTACAATATTGTATCGCTCCATTGCTTCCAATAGCCTAGGGGAGGGGGCCATATAAGCAGGCCACGAGTCCATGGTATTTAAGCGGGGTTGTTGTTCGTTCTTCTGCCTACGGATAGTGGCGTTTGGGCTTGAGCATTGCCCTGTTCAATTCAGTTAGGATATGCTGCCTTACGTCCCATGCATTGCAGGCGCTTAAATATCATGTAGCTGTGGCATGCTTAAATGGTCCCCTAGGCTACTAAAAGCAAGGGGTCGGTGCGATATTTCCTAACGTGAGATTTTCATCTGTTTTACACAACCGCAATGTCAGTGTAAAGTATGAAATGAAATTTTCTTTCTCTGCCCTGTATGCTTTCGCCGTTTCAATCCGGTAACGACATGTTTTAAACACTGACGGCGTTATCGAAAACTCCGCTCATGGAGTCTATTCCAGAACATCCGGGTTGTTTTCGTAAAATATTGCTTGTCAAAACTTTTATTGATTCAGCTTAGTATTGGCTGTTAAGATGTAACAAAACCAATGGTGGTCATTAAAAGGGTAAAATATGAAAATGACAAAATTCAGATCAGCCACTGTTGCACGATCAAAAAATAAAATCGGTTTCTTCCAATTTCGGGTTCATACAGAATTCAAATTTTTCTCCACTTTACTACATCGAGTTGTCAGCGTATCACCGCTGGTCTGATATCAAGATTTTAGCTCGGTGTCCCAATGGAAATTTCTGTTTTCAAGTACTGGTGGAAACAAAAACACTGGAGTTACAAAAGTGCATAATCGGTTCTCCTATTTCCGCAATCAGAGAATATTGACTATACTATTTCTGAATAGTCCATGGCTATCTATCACATGATTAGCAAGATTAACAATGCCACAACAAAGAAGTTCGCGCTTTTCAATACAAAAGCCGTCCGCTAATGTCGACAGCCTGAAAACTCAGAAACATCTGAACAGAAGTACTGAATCCTCAAATCTGTCGTACCTTTATCTGATAGTGATAGGTGCCTAGACGCACTTACAAAGTAGATTATGAAAAAAACCGCATTTCCGCTTCAATATGTTCAGGGAACAACTGAACGGCGTTCATGAAAACAGTCACCTTATTCATGTGGAAGAACATGGAAACCAATCCTTCTTTAACATTTTATTATTCAGGGACAAAGCATGTTGAGGACGTCCGCAGCTCATCCACATACGAAACTACATCAAGTTACAAATCCATTTATGCGAACACCCGTAAAAATGAGACTGGCACAGACCCTGTGCATGGAAACATGAAGTTATGCTTAAACATCGTTTCTCTCTAAAAAGTGATCAGTAACATACTCAGCGAATTAAAACATAACTAGTCAGAAGTCGTCGTTCAAGAACCGTTCGGTAATGTCGACCAAACAATAAACAATAATAATAAGAAACGGACATTTCAGCTGCATAGGCGAATAAGATTTAGTCATATATAGTACAGTTTGTGAGTCATCGTCTGGCGCTAACCAAATATATGGTCAGAGGTCTAGTGGGACTGAAATGAATACTTTCGAAAAGGAACAGACAAGTGAGAAAAGATTCTGGAAGCGATCATTTTGTGATTCACGTTATATTCATTATGAGACAAATATATTGCTCCCGCTTTTCGCAACAGCAATCCCATGCTCACCATCAGCTGTTTCATGCTACCGTATAAACATCAGAAATACGTTTGTATGTGGGTGGGTGCTAAACATTGCAAAACTCATTCACAACATATACTTAAAGATCACGGAACCCCTTTCCAAAAGCATACGTCAACGTGAGAAAAATGAAATCGTGTACAAACAAAAACTGCTTATTACACATTATACTAATCCAGTAATATCCAGTCATAAAAAAAATAAGTGATATCCTTTCTTCAAACGAATGACTACAGTGCATTCATTCTTATGCATCATTACTCGTCCTTTGTCAACCAAGAAATGTTTTAACCAAACATAAAAAACGATATTTTACATCAAGTTCTTGGTGCCATTGGTGCAACATAATCGATGTGTCGGCTATACCACGTTCATCGTCATTCTCATTTCGGAAGATGGACCGTAATAAGAAATTTCGTGCTAGTCAGAATCTCGCCGACTCATTAGCTGATCGTTTGAAAGTTCAAGACAGGTCTCTTCGACCACGGAAAATACTTGCCATCGTATTTCATCCTGACATGTGATACCTTATTTTGGGGTTGCCAGCTCTCCATGATGTTAAGGCCCAAGCTCGATTTGTGGAGGATAATGTCAGATATAAATTATGCAACGATATTGATTGATCTTCATAACTCAATACAGGTATACTATACCATTGGTTATTCTGTCGTAAAAGTCCCCCTCAATGAACTAGTTATGTCGGGAATAACAGATACTGATGTTACAGTACAGCACACCAGGCAGAACATTGAGTGAAGAATCTGGATATCAAGAAGTCATTACTTTTTCAAACCTTCATATTGATACTGGGACTGGTGCGACATATATCAAGATAAAGTATCGAGCACAACCACTTTAAGAGAGCTTCAACAGTTTTATCATTTATACTTCCGTATCGCTCACCAGCACACTACCATCTGTACATTCCAGTTCAACTAAATATCTAACCGGGTATCATGAACTGTACCCTCGCGTTAGAATGAAACTTCTGTCTTTGCTAGGGTCAGCACCATTTCAGACGAGAAAGTGACGAATAATGTTGAACAGCTAAGGCAAAGAAATCAGATCTACCTGTCAATCTCCATGATTAATAACGATCCCTTCAGTTTGCTCTATCGATTTTGACAGCACACCTGATTTCTGCACTTCCAAAATGAAAATGACGTACTAAGGTAGACCATAAAACATCAAACACTTTCTTCCATATTTGCAAAATTTTTAGTCTTACGATATACTGAATCATTTAGCCTTAAAATCATGGAAACTCACAAACCAAGACAACAACAGAATCGTCGGCATTACTCAGTCTATCGAAGAGCGAAAAGTTGGCTAGAGCAGTAGCAACCTGTCCGGCATAGCGTAGCCTGAGAGGTTACCTATCAGTTGCCTTTTCTATTCGTTCCAAAATTATTCAAAAATAGTTTCCCCGTTGACAGAAACGCGAACCCCCCCCGACACTAGCCAAAACAGTCGTTCACAAATTTCTTTAAGTAAGGCCACAATAATAGACACTTTCATTATTCTGAAAAAGTTGTTGTTCATATATGACGAAAGGTTTAGCTTCTTTACCATTTATATTCCTCCGTGTCTAATCAACCATGTAGAAATTCCGTTCACATCACACGCCTTCCTCTTAAAAAATTGGCGTTTAATATTTCTTACTTTGTACATGGATCCGTACACACCACCTTAAAACAGCACAGATTATGTCCATCATAAAACCACGTCATTGTTGGCAGAAGTCGAAACTGGAATTAGCATGAGAGTACAGGATCGTTTACATTCCAAATAGTGTACTTTCATAACGATTTGCTTTTTATTCTGAATTATCAATTCCAAATATCGATTATCAATCAATAGAATGAGAACCAAAATACTGAAACATTTTACTACAAAAGTACATTTAAATATACGTACAGAATTTTTATGTGAAAATGGATCTCACAATCCATATGCATCCGCCTATGAAACAATTTACCCTTAATAATACATCGTTATCATAACGGTAACTGCGAAAGAAACGGACAAATCAAGCAGTAACAGGAAGATGTTTCAAAAGTCAGGCGATCCGTACATGCCCATCTGCGATACACCAGAATGAGGATTCAGGCAGGGATAGGAAACGACACCTGCAATGTCTCTGCCACTCGATGACGGCCTAAGACCCAATCTTTCTGAATTGCGACCGCGTTCATATCCTTTAATTTTCGTTGATTTTCCCATGGAAAATGGAACAGAATTTAAGAATAGCTCGATATAGCGAGTGCCTGAAAATAAAGTTCACAATTTTTCTGAGCTGTCAATATATAACGGAAATGATAAGTCAACAACTTCGCACTCCTACATTCTACAGAAAACCACATAAATGCTCATGATATGCCTTATTCATCACTGAACATCACAAAGTTTCATACCATGTGAACCGAAGTACTTTGTAGACCACTGATTGCTCAGAACTAAGAATCAGACATCATCAAGGTTAAAAGGCATGCACCATTCGAAAAGGCACTAAAAATATTGCCTGTAAGTAAAGCAAAACCAGGTATTACAACGTGATAAGCGCCATTTCCATATAACCATGAATGAACGAAAACCTACAGAAAAAGTACATCGTTCATGGCTGAAATCTACTGAAAGATTTGTGTCGCTCAAGCTGTGGCTTTTATGGTATCACCATCACTGATTTAGCAGGATCCAACGACGCCCTGGATCGCTACTTTTCACTACTTTGATCAAGTTCAGTCAGCATAGTGATATGGGGCGTCCCTGGGTTGCCAAGAGCAAAACAAACTCAAAAATGGGTGACAGTTCTAATGAATATGCAACCGTGAACAAGTCGCGTATTTATGGAAAGAGGCTGGCAAACTCGTAACCAAAAAAATGCACACATAACGCCGTGACAATCCCATTACGATGTGAGAATGATCCACAAATCGAAGATCACAAATACCAACGCAGTTTTGCGGTTCTACCTGAAAAGATCAAACGTCTGAAGAAATAAAATCGAAAACAAACCAGGCGGCTCCTCGGGACCCGTCTCTATGAGCCAACCTGATGAAAATTAGTTTTAACGCCAGTGTCCGCGTAACCGACGCGCACGGGGATGAGAGTCCATTGACTTTAGCGAACAATTCACAAACTGGACTACTTACGCGCCGCTCAATCACTTCGATCGACTGTTGGAACGTGCGTACGTTATTCGGTCCTGGAAGTCATTCCCTCACGGTCCAACCCTATACCATTACATTGTAACACTGCCTGCCTCTCAGAAGTTCACATCCTTCACAACCGACCAAAATCAGTCTCTACCTGAACAGCAATACTGACTATACCACAGTGGACCCACAGACCTCAGGATAAGAAGTGTGGCAATATTAGCTTATTGTCACCCATAATAACTCAATAGCTCATGCTCAGTTAGACTTAAATGGCGAAGAGGCAATATTGCCTGAAAATTGCAAAATTTAACCTTACGTCTACTAATCCAATCACTGGCGCAGATAGACCTTGGACACACATAGTGATGCGCAGTGACCTCGTTGCTAGAAACATCTGCAGAAGATCAACATCTTATAAAATGGTTCAGCTTGTTTTCGTCAACGTCCGCATCACAGACGCAATTCCACATTCGGCCACTCATTAAGCTGTGCCCTTCACTTCCACCGTTGGCCTAATAACATCGTTACTGAGTCATCCCAGTGGATTGGTGGACGACGGAGCGGCGTCAGTTTCAGAGGGGGATCCCAGTGGTAACTCGGGATGTCCATCTGTTATCCTTCAGACGAGCTACATGGCCAGCCCGT